TTGACCTGTGTCTTATAAAAAAATTTTGGAAACTTTCTTTATATATATTCCAAAATCAAATTTTGAAACTGGCGGATTTTCTTCCCCAGTTTTATTAATAAAATATTTTGCCAAATATATTTTTTATTAGAGACAATGCTAATAAACAAAAAGCTCAGTAGGTATTAATTTTATAATGATGTTTTTTGTCCCAATTTTTTCTCGGCTCTCACTGGACCGATTCTTTTTAAAGATACGTCAAATCAAATATAATTGAAGGCTAAAAATTAAAAATTTCCCTCGATCCCTAAAAATGAGCGAAATCCCCTAAAAAATTACGATATTTTAAATCAGTAAATTTTGACATTTTTTTTTTTAAACTGCGTTAACTTTTTAAAAATAAACGAATCAACAGAAATTTTTAATATTGTAGCCTAAGATATTTTCCTATTATTTGATATATTTTTGTGAATATTAGACCCTCTATATGCCCACAGGACAGAAATTCTAGATAGCAACTTCTACACAAAAATTTAACTTAAGTTTTGAATATATTCTGGAAATACTTTGAGCTTTAAACATATGTTTAAATAAATGTTATGTTATGCATTATAAGTTCAAAAAAAAAAAAATTGTCCTGACAACTTATCTTCTATGTGCAAATGGTTTTAGTAGACAAAACATACATGTTTGGTGTTAAAATTTACGATTTAATTTTTTTTTTTTTTAACTTTAAATTATTATAACTTTTTGAAAAAATGTATGGATCAATACAATTTTTTTTCATAAATATTTTTTGTTTACTTCTTTCATTTGACATTTTTTTTTTTTTAATTCGGACCATTTTCCTTTATACAGGGTGATTTAAAAACGTTAAAAATGCGAGTAAAAAGTAGTACTTTTCAACTTAACTTTTGAAAATGTTTCGGAAATACGCCGAGCCTTAAATATGTGGCAAATTATAACTTATGATAAACATATAAGTTAAAAAAAAAAAATTTGTCCTGAAAACTTTTCTTCTATGAGGAAATGGCCGTCGAATTAAACGAAATATGTAATTTTTATGTAAAAATCACCGTTTAACATATTAATATTTTAATTCTTAAAATTGCCATCACTTTTTGAAAAATGAATAATGTAAAATATTTTTTCTATATTGAAACTATAGATATTTCCCTTTTACTGAGTATAAATCGTTTAAAATTTTGACACTTGACCTGCCCACAGACGGGAATTTAAAAAAGCAATTTTTGCATTGAAGTTAAACTTTTTCAACTTAACTTTTGAATTTTTCCAGAATTATTGACACTTTTATATGTATCTTAAATTGGAGCTTATATAAAATGCTTTACTATGAAAAAAACCCAGCACAGGGGGGTCGCGGCACAGTTGTGACGTGGTATAGTTGGATCAAGTATAATGATATCTGACAGTGATTAAAATCACTATCAAAAATAAACGCTTCGATGCAAATCTTTAGATAGTGTTTAATTTTAAAAAAATTGGTGTTTTATTCCAAAAGCTACTTGATCTGCTGGTTCCTTATTAATATCTCGAT